TGATGACGATGATGATGATGATGATGACAATGATGATGATGATGATGACGATGATGATGACGATGATGATAATGATGATGACGATGATGATGATAATGATGATGATGACGACGATGATGATGAAGACGAAGACGATGATGACGATGACGACGATGAAGACGAAGATGACGACGACGACGACGATGACGATGACGATGACGGCTACGTGTCGAGCAGAATGATCGCGGCGGTCAATGGCGATGATGTCTGCGGTAGCGGTGTAGCGGTGGTGGTAGCGGAGATGACGGTGGTGGCGGTGGCCAAGACGATGATGATATATCGATGAATCGATCGGAAGATCTCTAACGAGAGATTTCTTTCGATTTAATCCACGTACAACGAACGAATGAAATTCGTTGCGTCGAGCAGCGTCGCGTCGTCGCGTCGTCGCCGCGATTTACGCGATTTATGCGATTTACGCGATTCACGCGATTCACGCGATTCACGCGATACCGCGACTTTTCCTTTACGAATCGGTCGCGGTGCTCCAACTTTTCTGACGGACGACGAGCTGCACGGCCAGAGCACGAGTCGTTCGCCGCGTTCCACTGGCATTCGACTGACACAACCAACACGATGTTCCGTTTCTTCCATCGTCTCTCCTCTTCTCTGCTCCGCTCTGCTTTGCTCTGCTCTTCTCAATATCTTTTCTCCCTCCACCAGTTGCATACTTTCAACCGATCCGATTGCGAACGTTACTTCGCCTATCGCCTACTGTCACTCCTATCTATCCTAATCGTACGTTGCGTATCCTTTTGACCGATCATCGATTACGCGCCGGCACAAAGATTAATCGTCTTCTTAGACGATTTCGACTCTTTCCTATGTCCTTTATGCGCTTCGTCCGATACATATTTTCTTCGACGGCGAACGAACGACACATGCACGCGTGTCGCATGCTGGCAACGTTATCGCAAGGTACTTTGATCCGTGTTCCCCGCGGATCACGGTTTCGCAATTGTTACGCCTGCCTATATCGCGCCTACGAATTTCAACGCTGCATCGAACTCGATTTCTAAACGTAGGCGAGACCGAATGAAAAAGAGAGGAGGGACGCCTAAAAATCCTTTCGAAGAAAACTTTCGAAAATATCTTCCTCTCGCTTGCTCGTATTCGCGTTTCGCCTGATCCGCGCGTGTATCGCCTGTAGCCGCTTAAAAAGTTCCTATAGTCCGGACAACGATTAAACTCGACTCGTTTCTAAAAGCGCGATTGTCTCGAAATTCTTCGGGAGAAAATATACGCGGCGTTGCTATATTTCGCGTAGGCCGCCTTCGCGTTTAGCGAAGTCGCGTTATTTCGGTACGACATCGCACGAAACGTGTTCCGACGATTCTCGCGACGAATCGCGATTCTTATCTTCGCGCTAACGAATTCTCGAAGCATCCCCTTAACTTTCTATCCCCTTCATTTTCTACCCTGCCAGATTCTCTTCTTACGGAGAATCGTTAGCGATATTTTCCATCGTTCCAACCTGATTCTAAGCTGATCGAGATCGGTGGATCTTAGATTTCGGTGGAGCGACGCGTCGCTTGAAAATTCTTCTTCTTCGCGTCCTCGTCTCGCGTCTAAATCAAATTTTCCCTTTATTATTCGTTTCCTCTATTATTCCGCGTTAGTTTTCTATCCGTATAAATGAACGCGCGACTCTGCTACTATGCCAGAATCGAGAATAGCATGGGTCAGACGAAATACCGGAATACCAGACGTTGATCGAATACTACCTATGGACGATAGTCCATATTTGTATCGGCGGTGACCGGTGACACGTAACCGGACCACGTACAAGCTAATCAAATACTTTCACCCCCGTCAAAAACTAACTTTTAATCGCTTTCCACCTATGCGTATCGAGATTAATCTACGTGTCGCATACAATAGTATAGAAAAATTCGCCTAGGGATAGGAACCAAGAATAGGGAAACCTAGAGATTTCGCTGCGTTAGCTGCTTAATTTTCTTATTCGTAGGTAAATATCCTTGTGAACGAGACGACGAGTCCATACGAGAAAAAAAAGATCTTCGCCTTTTCTTCGGGTATGATTATATGCTTCTTTTGTTCGATGAAAAATCCCAATGCATCGTAGTTATTTTGCTTCGTTCGACGTTAGATTATATACGCGGTTCTTTCTTTCAGTATATGCTATTTTCTACGAAACAGTTAAAAAGCATGCGTAGCAAAACGGTGTGTAAATGTTTTCGATGCGTACACGTAGTTACGAATCACGACGTTTTGTGCGCTTCGAAGATAAAGCGCGCGACAAATTCGTATGCCTCGACGCGCGCAACTGATTGTGTGCATCTGTTGGGAGGTCGCTATGTTCGTCGACCTTTCTTTGACTTTGTCGAGTTAACGCACAACAACGATCAAAGATACTCCAAGGTAGCAGACAGTTTCGGGAATACGCGCCACGTTATACCGAGTGTGTTCCAGTTCGATAACGATATTTGTATATTATCGGTTATTCGTCAAATTCCATCGAGATCCATATATTCGAAATCCAAAACCATGGCATTAAATAAACTTAGCATCGATAAAGTGGACCTAACGGATAAACGTGTTCTCATACGGTACATCTCTTTCTTTATATTCGCTAATAATTTCTTTCGCCCTCTTTCCAAATAATTAATGCATGTCGCGTACATAACCTTCTATCCGTATTTCTTCGTCGAAACGTTACAATACGCGATACAAGTACGTTCTACCGGTCTGTCGTTCAATGTATCAAAGTACACGAGGTTCTCGGTTTGCTCAAATCGTCCTTTATATTATTTTTACAGAGTGGATTTCAATGTACCGTTGAAAGATGGTAAAATCACGAATAATCAAAGAATCGTCGCTGCTTTGGATACTGTCAAGTATGCGCTTGAAAAAAAGGCCAAGTCTGTTGTTTTAATGTCGCACTTGGGCCGTCCAGATGGAAAACAGGACATGAAATACACGCTTAAACCCGTTGCCGATGAATTGAAATCTCTCCTTGGAAAGGAAATTTTGTTCTTGAATGATTGCGTTGGACCAGAGGTCGAAGCGGCGTGTGCTAATCCAGCACCAGGAACGCTCGTCTTACTTGAAAATTTAAGATTCCACGTAGAAGAAGAAGGGAAAGGCGTGGGTCCGGACGGAAATAAGGTAAGCTTCCGTTTGTCCTTTACGTTCTTTCTACTCGACAGATTAAATTTCCCGTAATGAACAACTTTTACCCCTTAGGTAAAAGCGGATAAAGAAAAGGTCACCGCGTTTAGAGCGTCTCTGAGAAAATTAGGCGACGTTTATATCAATGATGCTTTTGGTACGGCTCATCGTGCTCACAGTTCGATGCTTGGCGAAGGATACGATATCAGAGCCAGTGGCTTCCTTTTGAAAAAAGAATTGGAGTACTTCGCTAAAGCTTTGGACAATCCGGAAAGACCTTTCTTGGCTATACTGGGAGGTGCTAAGGTCGCGGATAAAATACAACTGATTAATAATTTGCTAGATAAAGTTAACGAAATGATTATAGGCGGTGGAATGGCTTATACGTTTTTGAAAGTATCCAAAAATATGAAGGTAAAGTATCGGCCTTGGTCAACTTGCCTTTTTCTTTCCTAAATATTTATTCTATAATCTTTCCAATTTTAGATTGGCAATTCGTTATTTGACGAAGAAGGCGCAAAAATTGTCAACGATTTGTTATCGAAAGCCGAAAAGAATAAAGTTCAAATACACTTACCAGTCGATTTCGTTACCGCGGATAAATTCGCGGAAAATGCAGCTGTAGGTGCAGCGGATTTAGAAACCGGTATACCTGATGGTTGGATGGGACTGGATGTCGGACCAAAATCGAGAGAATTATTTAGCGGTAAGTATTGCTTTCTTCTTTATCCTCTACTCCGTTCGTAATGCTTCTTACTCCTTTTTCTTTTTTGCATTCTTATTCGTAATATTCTTATTCACGATATACCATTTATAGAACCTATCAAAAGAGCCAAAACGATAGTATGGAATGGTCCAGCGGGTGTTTTCGAATTCGAGAATTTCAGTAAAGGTACAAAGAGCCTCATGGACAATGTTGTTGAAGCAACCTCGCGAGGTAGTATTACTATAATTGGAGGCGGTGATACCGCCACTTGTGCTGCCAAGTGGAAAACCGAAGATAAAGTAAGTCACGTAAGCACTGGAGGAGGTGCAAGCTTAGAACTGCTCGAAGGGAAAGTTTTGCCGGGAGTTGCGGCTCTTTCCTCCTCGTAAATTACGATCCATCTAGTGCTATTTACTACGTTTATAGAATCTAGTTTAACGTCGATATTCGCGGTGATTCGCGAATCAACGAAATACCTCCTTTGTTTCTTCGGTGATAAAAATGTTACCGCAATTTGCGTGCATGTAAAATCGATATCCTTTCTTCGAAACAACCTATGTTATTATTCACTCGCGATTATGCGAAATCTTTCTGTATTTATTCAAAATATCGATAATGTATTCTACTTATATTAGAAAGATAACCGATATCAAACGTTATGTTTCGGTGATCGTTTATTACTGTTTAGGATTATCGTTTACGCAACGTTCTTTGCATAAAAATGCCGGTACCGTGTTTCGCTCGAAACTCCTAATATCTGTGTTCTATGACTGAACAATTTACCAACAATTTAATAAATAATGATAGTGCACCGATGTCAGAAAACTGACAAGTTCTGCACTATGTTTAGAAATGTTGTTAAACATGTTTTCTCTTTGTTAAAACATCTAATCCGAGATATTTAAAAAGAAACAAAATTCTACATTTATTCCAATAATATTATTTTAACAAAGGAAATATTCAACTTTTCACGCGCCATTTCTGCTGCTATACTTTATTTAATTAATTGTATTTTAATTGGGCGATTTCCCGTAAAATAAACTAAAAAATTAAATTAAATTCTAAACTAAAATATTAAATAAGTTCTTCGGGTAATTCACCACAGCGGCTAACCTTTTGCATTAGGGATGCTACAGTTACAAAACGTTTCTTTTTAATTTCTTCGGAATCTCCATCTGCTTCCTTGTCAAATTCACTACGCACCTATCGCGAAAGAAACAACAAGATATTGAAAATAAAGCAATACTGTCCATTTTCTAATCAAGCGTCATAGAGAAATAATGATGAGTAATTCGTTACGTAATAACCTGTTGGATTAATTCGAGCTGTTTCGTAAACCTTTGTAAATCGCTAGACGATATCGTTGCTTTCTTTTCTTCTAACCATTCTGGATATTTATCTGCTAATTCTTTTAACGACGGATATAAAATTTCTTTCGAAAATAATTGTTGCAGCGTCCCGTGTATAATTGATAGAACAGGATCAGAATCATCTTCTAAGGATGCTTGTTCAAACACTTCGTATAAATCGGCTTCGCTCTAGAATATTTTTCAGAAGAAACGTATTTTCGGATACAGGGTAATATGTCGAATAAAGACGTACAGAATGTTTCTAATAAATCACCTGTAAACTTTCAGACGTTGCAGACAAGTCGTTTAATGCACGAGCAATGGCAGATTGAAAATCTGTACTCGCGTTGTCTTTGTCGAGAGTTTCGTCATCTTTTATTACGCTTGCAACTGTTTGTGCCATTCTTTGAAAGGAAGCTCCCAACTCGCTATCTGTTCCTAATAGAAAAATTTATCAGGGATACCTTTCTTGCAATTTTTAGAAAAAGTTACCATTTTGAATGAAATTCTGTAGATTTTCTTCAAATTGTTCAGCAGCTTGCTTAATGAAATCTGTAGTCCAAGCATCCTCCAAACTGTCTAGTGTATTATTGTCTTTTGTGGATTCTGAACTATCCGATTTACCATGATCTTCGTTGTCTGATTTTTGTTCCTTATTAAAATCTTTTAAAGCATCTGAAACGATTATGAGATAATCATTATTTTCAAGTATAAATTTGAAACAGTTCATTTAAACATTTGTTACATAATTTTAATACATTTAGATATAAATTTTTATAATATACATATAAACGAATGATTACATAACTTAATTAATATTCTTGCAAAATAGAATACATATAATACTTATTTATTTTTTTTTTTTTATACATTCTATAATTTTCTAAACACAATCGTTAAAAAAATATGCTGCTTTATAAGTCTACCAATCAAAAGAAAGTAAAAAAAATATTGCACATTTGCATAGTTTAAGGTTAGAATATTCACAATATATTTATTCAATTATTAATCGTGCCATGGCATAATTACTTACTGTCTAATAAATCGTTTAATTCATCGTCTTCTGTTTGCTTTGTAGGCTTTTTGTCGGCCATATCTGTTCTATAACTTTAATGTCAAAATTTTTCAAATCACGACACGAAATGTGTACGCATCAGTGATGAGATGAGTTTTTTTTTGCGCATGCGCGGCAATTTTACTCTCTTAGTAAAATACAAGTTTCGATAAAATGGGGTATCTTTTAATAACCCTCCATTATTTTAAAAAAATTCTTATAATTTGGTTGTGAAACATGAATTTATAGGTTGGGTAAGATTAGATTATATGCATATACTGTATAATTCACTGAAAGGGTAGTAAAGTAACTTTACGTAAAATATATAATATAAAAATAAAGTATTTTATTTGACAAAATCAATAAAAGAATACCAACATTTGTTAATAGGACAAAGAAAATTGTTAAAATCTTATTAGTATTTTATCCTGGTGTCTCGTTCATAGCAGTGAACGACTGCTTTTTCGCTGCTTTCTCGCCAACAGCACTAGACCATCTAGTGGCACTACTAAATAGATACGCTCCTGTATTTCTCGCGCATGCACGAAAAAACACGGCCGATATTCCTTCACTGGTACGCATCAAAATGCTATTTATACCTTTATCAGCCTTCACAATCTTATAAACGTATATGTATATTTTTTAAAAATTAGTATAAAACGTTAACATAAACGTTTATATTCTGTTTTCCCTTTCTTTCTCCCACCTTTTTTCTTTACTTTTATCATTACCGCCAAATAAACATTTACATATATCGATCAAAGATCTTACTTTTTCATCGGCAACAAATATTTCATACAACTAATAACGTAAGTATTTGTATCGATAAATTGTTAAGGCATTTCATAAGGATCATATTTTGTTAAAAGTTCTTCAAAAATCAGTTTCTATACGAGAAATGTCTATCTGCAAGTAAACAGATATTAATCGATTTATTATACACACACACACAAAACACGTGTGTATATACATATATATATTGTTCAGTGAATAAGCATTTTTTTTATGCTTATATTATACGTACTATACTGATACAGTAAAGAATTATAATTTGTTCACGTGTTTTGTTTCATTTATGACATTTTCTTTCATTCTTTTTTTTTAATAATCATCACTAACAGTCATTCAACTAACAAATCAAAATACATGTATGGTACATGATATAAATAAAATATATCTAGCTTTATTTATTAACAATGACATATGGGGATGTACAAATTTTATACGCGCAAGAAAAGATTTATCAGCATTGTTGTAAATTACAATTATCTTTCTTGATTCATATCTTGATCAGAGAAGATTTTTTCCAACAATCGACAACATACATTCACTTGATCTAAATTCTCCTCTTGTTTTAAGTGTTTTATACAATGTTCCAAAGTAGAGCGTAAACAAAGTTCTGGTCGTCGACATTCTTTCAAAGCAGGAAGAAAATCGTCGTTGGTTAATCCGTCGAGAATATTTATCAACTGATCCCTAAAGTGTCAAACATTGCATAAAATTTTATTCAATGAAATAAAATATGATAAAATAAAGATAAATACCTGATCTCTGGAAGTAGATCGTCTGTAGCTAATAAACCTGCTGCCTGTTCCACTAAACCCATATTCACCAAAGTTAATTTTAAATCATTTATATTCTCTTTGCTACAAAGCGAGGATAAAAGAAATGCAGATTTAATTTGTAATTTCTTCACTGAACTTTGCATAGCTCTCAGAAGAACGGAATAGCCATCATTTATATCCATGTACTTTAATGATATCGGATGTTCACGAACTATACCTATATTTGATGTATAGACAAATTATAAGATTCTATACGACACAGGGAAACGTAGTGGCTATTCGTATAAAAAATCTCTACTTACAAGATACAGCGTACAGAGCTTTGATTCTTACAGCATCGGTCGGATCTGTGTCTATCATGCTCAATAATATAGGGAACAGACCAGCTTCCAGGCACCTTTCCTGACAAAAAGGATTATTTTGAGCTAGTTCAGCAATTACATCCGCTGCTCTCCATCTAATGCTACTATGGGATGAATTTAAGCACGGACCAAATATTGAAAAGCCTCCTATTTTATAAAAGTCATTAGCGGTATCTATGTTATCTACAAAATCGGCGATCCTTTCCAAAGCAGTTTCTTCTTCCGAAGTATCATCGTCTGGTCGAAGATCGACTACATTCGATAAAACTTTAATTGCTTTTTGCAACTCTTCAATGATATTACATGACAACGAGGAAAGTGTTTCTTTCAGGAATTCTTGTCTCTGCAAACAAACTGTGACTGTAGTTCATAGTTCGTCTAAGCGACACCTGTAATGCATACCTCCTTGTCCATGGGATGAAACTGAGTATTGCTGGAGGCACCTTGAGAATTGGTTGCTTCCATAGCAAATCTTAGTAATCCTTGCAAATTTGATGGTTGTCTAGGTTGATTCGGTAATACTTCAAGTACTTGTGATTCTCTGTTATTCGACGTCGATGGCCCTTCGATTGACAACGGTCTCGTGCTGCTGCTAGCACGCGGTTGTCCTTCAGTTTTTTCTCGGGTATTTGATGATTGAGAGCTAAAATAATGTTCAATGACAGATAACCTACAATTGCCTTCGCGTATCAATCGTTAATAAATTCGTAAATTAGGAAAACACATTTCGTACTTATCCATTTTATCTGTAATTTTTGTTGTATGTGCTGCGCCCATTAATTAAACAAATCTGTCTCAAAAGAACGTTCTTTTACGAAAACGTTGACTACTCGAACGCATTATAACACCTGATTTTCGTTGCTGTATGTTCCTGTTTTCGTAAATTCTCGAAACAAAAGGAACTGTATAGAGTTAAGACTGACTGCACTCTTTGTGTTGGAAACAGTTTCAACACTGTTCAACAATGAATAAAAACTAGTTAGAAGGGTAAATTTAGTCATACGCTTGCGCGTTCAGAAGATTCGGAATGATAAAAAACTAACCTTCAACAAAATAATGTGTAAATCTTGGAGCTACATATCCGAAAACACCTAATATCGTTGAAAGTCAGAACATTGATAGTTGAAACGATAATAAATGTATAACTAATTATATTATTAGTACGAATTGGTAACAGAAACTTGCCGCACGTCTAACGAAATTAAAAGAAATACGATATTTAATACGATACGAAAATTTTGCGAATTAAATTAAGTTTCAAGGTACAATTAAATTTTGAAGGATATTTAGACTGTTAATAATAATAAAATTTTATTCTGTCCATCTGTGGGAACAATGTTGATTAGTACATACATAATATAATCTCATTTCTTCTTCTGCTCTTCTGGTTTGTGCTTGGAAAAATACAGCTTCTCTATGATTACATTTTGGACACGGGTGTTCTTCGGTTCTTGGTAAAGTAGGATCAGATATGACATCTGCTACGATATGCGTCAATTCGCTGGAATCATAACATTTAATATAAAATATAATATGCTAAATGATTTCAAAGAAATTTCTAAAAGCACTTCTGTAAATGGTGTAGCATCGCTTGAAATTTTTATACATATTATTGGTTTTACTTACTCGATTTCATGCATAATTTTGTTTACATAAATGCAATTACTATCGGCTAATTGTTTGAAATCACAGTTTCTACACTGAAAACAAAAGATTTACGATCATAAATTTCAACATTAGGGTTAACAATTTTGTTCTTTACGCGACACTCACCGCATACATTAACACTTTATTTTCTTTATCTTCTTTAGGGTATAACATGTTATTACATTCTTGACAAAATCTAATACCAACAAAACCAGGTCCATCATCGTGTGTATCGTATCCAGCTATTTTCGACATGTTTCCTATGTTTTAATTTCTCTCGTATGCAACAAAATTTAATCGATTTAAATTTTATGTTCATTGGATGTTGTATACGTAAATGAAAATAAACTTTTTTGAGCATCAGTTACATAGATTGAAGATAGAACAGTCAATATACACCGAGTAATGGCGGTTTCGTACAAACTTCGTATTTCCGTCTTACACGCAGAGATGTAGTGTATGTGCAAACGTATTTATGTACATATAAAATAATTCATATTAATATTCAGTTTAGTCACTAAATTGTAATGACGACAACATGTTATTATATCATATTATAGTAAAAAGAAAAAGTGGGAATTACCTGGACAGTGAAGTACTAAGGAACTAAACTATAATTTATTTTTATTGGTTACAACTATATAGTAAATTGTTTTGAGTGATAAATACGTTACACCTCTTTATGCACACAAGTAAGTAATTGAAGTTAATTTGAACTAATAAAATGATCCGTCAGTGAGGATGTAGAGAAATGACGGTTCAAGTCCAAAGTTAATATGCTTTCGAAACGAAAACAATATAATACTGCTTCATTGTTCGAAAATCTTTGAGCAATGAAATCGTATTTTTTTATGTAAACCTCTATAAAGAGCAATATGAGAGAAAGAAGGATCGCTGACTCTTTGTCCGAAAGCCCTTTGTTTTCCTGTACGAGGTCCTCAATGTCATTCATAGCTTCGACCGTTAATCGTCTTTAATATCCTAATGTTAAAGTTAAAACGAAGCATCCGAATAATTGTTACTTTAAAATAATGTACAAAAATTGTTTCATTTACGTTCATACACGTAGAACTGTGGAATCAATCGAAACCTATTCGTAATTAGCTTAAACCGATGGGCGAGTTTTCATGAAATGGCGCGAATCCACATATGCAGTGTCTCGCTTAAAAGATAGCAACCTTATTTGTTTTTGTATAATACATTTTGTTAGAATTTAACAGTAAGGAAACAGAATTAATAGGAAAGAAAAAAGGATGAATTTTTCGTGGAATTACCAGTTTTTTTTTTTTTTTCTTTTTTTGTTACGAATGTATTGAACAGGGCGTATCGTCAACGTTATATGATGGGAAAATGAAGAACGCGGCAGGAAACTAAACGGTAAATAACATCGATATCGAAACGTTGTATGCAGATAAATATGGATCATAGACAGTTACAGCTGTATAAAAGTCAGCGTGATTGGTGTAATCGAATAAGTGAGGGAAATGTGGTATAAGTGTATAGATATTCTGATAATAGATATATATTAAGCATACGGGCACATAGAAAGATTTCGAATATGGTTCGAAAAGTTCAACGTTAGTAAGAGTTTTCGGAAAAGACAAGAGGTGCGCTGGTGTTCCGCTAAGCTACCCCCAGCCTTACTACCCCCACCCTTCCGTTTGAGCTCCCCTAGCTAGTGCAAATCTCGGCGGATGAATGTTTTCTTAAGGGATTCTTCCTGAAAGCGACGCGAAAATCTGAGAAGAGCCGATCAAACTGAAAGTTTGTGAGTAAAATCATTTATATCAAAATTCATGCTATTTTCTTCTTTTCGGAATCGTGAAGTTCGTAGGATTTGGTGTCATAAACTAAAAAGAAAGAACAAACTTGTGTTCAAGGCGTTCCTGGGGGGTGATGGCACTCACGCCGACAGCGTCTCCCACAAAGATTTCACCATTTTTCTATCGATGAAAAGGTCTTGTGCTTTTCTGCGTCCATTCGATATTTTTTGGTTAACCTGTCGGCTAGTATGCTTTGAACACGTGATTACGATAAACGCCGCGTAACTGGAGTTTATATTTGAACTTTTTTTATCCGAAAGAATTCGTTTATATACTACCGACGACAGATTTGTTTTGTTGCAAGTTCGCTTTCGGCTAGTGCCATGGATTTTCTTTCAAGTCTTTTTCGATGTTGATTTCATCCGGTATAGTCGCATTTAACGACGATAAAATTACCGTTTTAAATATTTCACCGAAGGTATATTTCTAATATTTCTCAATTCTGATATATGTATGTATGTATGTATGTGCATACAGATATATATATATATATAATATGTATGTATATATATATATATGTATATACATATATATTCACGCGTAGTTGAATATGTATCATTGATATTGAATTTTCTTAGACAATACAGCCATATTGTACATTATTTTAAACGAGTTTTTATTTATTTTTAAAATTTACATTTTATGCATATTTTTGGTACTTTCATTGATGTTTCATGCCAATATTTATATGTTACTTATTTTGATTCTTATTCTTTCATGGTAGCAATGAAAATGTGCGGTAGTTTGATATTGCACGATAAATCTGTTACTTTCGTTACTATTTACATTTTGTTTTGAAGGTATTAGGTCGGCATCAAGCATTGTCGATCCATTCAAGTTGTAAATAATTATTCGTTGACTATTTACTATAAAAGTAATATGGAAATGGAACTGGGATATATTTATATAAGACAATCTATGAGATACGTATTAATGGTTGGAATCAATGATTGACATTAAACGCGTTATATCAGTGGATACAATAAGTAGTATATAAAATACTGCATAGCTTTGGTACGACGATAAAACCTATATTCGTGTACTCGCATTGAAGAGGAAAGGTTAAAGTAGAACGCTTATTAGTTTAGAGTATTATTTGGTATATAACGTAGCGGTATTTTAAGTAAACAGTAAACGAGATAAAACAGTGGTACGTGTTTTCTGGTTTTGTCGTTAGTTTTAGCTTTTTTTCGCTTTGTCGAACAAAGACAGAATTTTTGGACGATAGAAATATGACGAAACAACGTGTTGACATTAACAGGAGAATTAATTGAAAGTCAGCTATAATGGAGAGTGGAAGTAATTTGCATACTTCGGGTAATTACCCTGGTGGGGATCGTCAACAGTTTTGCGTATCATGGAATTCTCATCAGTCGAATATGCACAGCGCGTTCCCAAAACTGTTGAGTTCGGAGCAATTCGTGGATGTTACCTTGGCCTGCGACGGAGGATCAATAAAATGTCACAAAGTGGTGCTATCCGCTTGTAGCGATTACTTGGAACGCTTGTTATTGGAAATACCATGCTCCCATCCAATTATTTTTTTGAGAGATATGAGAATGTGGGAACTTCAAGCTCTAGTGGAATTCATGTATCGTGGGGAAGTATATGTAGAGCAACAACAACTTGCTAAATTGATGCAGGCTGCCGAAGTTTTACAGGTAAACAGCTGATTTCTGTTCGATTTTTGTCTCGATTTCATCGACTTCTGTTCACGCGTAAAGATAATCGACGCTTTAAGTAGGATACTCGTGTTTCGAATTAATCATTGCGAAAACGATCTCGTTACCAGGTTCGTGGTTTGTCCACTCAAGGAAACGACAATTGTTTAAGCAGTTTGCAACAGTGCGATTCTAATGCTTCCGTTGCACCGTCGACGACAGCGCAGCAAGACGAACCCGATTTTAAAAAGGAAGACTCTCTATCAGACGATGGAACCTCGAGTACCAATTTCTTAGAAGCCACAACGCTCGCCGCAGCCAGCACGGCGAGCGCTCCATCGCAGAGTAGTACACCGGTCTCGCAAAATCCCAATTCCTCGAATTTCATGAACATGGAACACAGCGAAGCGTTGCAACATTTGGAGAAAGCACTTAGCGCTTGCGAAGCGACTCTAACGGAAACTCAAGGCATGGTTAAAATGGAACCGGACGAGCAATTTACTCAGCAGCAAGATAACAAACCATACTCTATTAGTATGGTACCAAGCAGTAATTGTAACCCTAGTAGTCCGTTTCCTGCAATCGAAGGTAAGAAAGAAACTAGAGAAAAGATAAAGAGTTAGGGAATGAAAAAGAGAGAGAGTGTGCGCGAGTGTGAGAGAGGAAGAGAAAAGAAAAGAAAGTTTCGTCGATATGTTTTTTTTCTTCTCTCTCTCTCTCTCTCTCTCTTTTGGGCTAGAGAGAATGGATCGTAAAACGTTGTAGCATTTCCGATGAAATTTTGCAGGTTACCAGAGACGACAAAGACGCTCGGAAGAAGAATTGAAGCAAGCTTCGGATATGGTGGCACGCGGTATGACGTTTCAAGTCGCTTCGGAAAAATACAAAATTCCGATAAGTACGATTCGATTCTATATGGTTAGAAAAGGTATATTGCAAAGGCGAAAACGCGGTCGTGGATCAAGTAATCTTGGGATGAATAGTCAACCGGGAAGTCCCGCGAGTCCGCCATATCATATGATGAATTATCGTTTGCCAGAAAGCCTAAACTCCAGCCTACCGTAGTGCTGTACGAAAAGTAGCGAGTTTTTAGATTTGAGTTGAATCGAACAAATTTTTTTATCGCTGTATCGGAGCTGTTCCAGACTGTCACCCGTCGCCGCATCTCTTAATTGACTCACACTGAGTTATCCGTTTTTCGTTTAATCATTTACGATTCGCGATCACCGCTCATGTCCACTGCGAGTGCGTTTTCGCCGACCTGCTCGTTATATTCTACATACGTTTATTGCATTTACGGAAAGCAGTAATTTGTAAGGAAATAATTGACAACGTGTACGTATCGTACACGATAGGTATGATTTTAGTCTCGAACAGCTCGATTCCGTGTACATAAGCACCATACACGAGCTTTCGAGCGCAGCATCGTGGTCGAAGGGAAAATTGAACGATCGAATCGCAAAAGGCAACGAATTTTCTTTCGAAAGCGTCGCGAGATTACCGAATTTTTGCCGGTGTTCCGTTCGATTTCATATAGCTCGGATAGCCGCGAGTAGTTCGTTGTACTTTTCTTTTCTTGTCTTTTCTTTTCTTTTCTTTTTTTTTACCTTTTTACCTTTTTACCTTTTTTTGCCTATTATAACACGTAGACTAAGGAAATAGCGAATGAATGTACGCGTATCGATGCAGCGTTCGAAGGTCACCCGTGTACGGTTCAGTTTGGACCGTGTTCCGTTCTTCTACTTAGTGACATATACACCTTGCGTACATGGATAGCGTAAGAGGTATTTTTTTGAGTCCTATACACAGATTGCTACAACAGATTTACAAAACACGGTTCACAGAGAAGATTGAACGCGTCACGCGAATCATATTTTTACGATCGCTCGAAAAATCTTTTGATAATACGTATCCGTAGGGTAGGTTCTTTTTTATTATGTCGTATTTATATATGTATATGTATATATACATATATATTAGGGACACGTCTATATACACATATGTATGTGTAGGTAGATACGCGTATGCATATATAGGTGTATATAGAGGTGCGTGTGTGTGTGTATGTATGTATGTACGTACGTACGTACGAACGAAGGTATAAACGTACCGAGATAGGTGTGAGCGCGCGTGTGCGTATGTATGCATGTATGCGTGTACGTAGACGCGTATATAGGTACGTTCGGTTCTATAAACGTACGTACGTACATCCATACATGTATGCGTGCGTGTGTGTGTGTATTTTAAGAAACATGTGTATGTATTTTGTTAAGTTGGTCCTTTCGAATCCGTGATGATCCTAATTAATCCGAGGTTTAAATGAATTTTCATCATTTCTTCTTATTCGATCGAGCAGAATGTAAAACAAGTAATTCGCGGCAAATACGCTCGCTTCTGATCGGCAGGAAATCGATGGTAACGGTAAATTCGAAGCCGACGATCGATCGACGAAGTACACGGCGAGATACATTGTAATTACGTCGGGATCGTTTGCTTCGTTCACGAACGAACATTAGTCACTACGTTAAAGACTGGTAACACGCGTGGCTGACCAGCAACCACGTTGAATCTTATCGTACTGCAAATCTGGATCTATATTACACAAAATATTTTTGTAGACACTTTGTCGCGGAAGGTGTCTTGTTTCTGCCTTTGTACGCGCATGTGTTTATACGTGTATATATACACATATATATATATAATATATATGTATATGCGTGTGGTTTCGTGTGCGCGCGTGTTCGCGTATGTATGCGCAGAGACAGGTGCATACGTATAGAACGACACGCGTTCGCGAACGTGTATGTATATGTACATATATATACATATAGACACATGCACGTGCACGTAAAGAAAAAAAAAGAAAAAAAAACACGTATACACATACACATAAAGTATACAGTTGCGAGTATATAAGTTGTCGATGCGGATACATTTACATATATGTACATACGTAGCACTGGAACATGTACGTATTAGTAATTTGATACTCGACGCTCGAAGAACCGGTACAGGTTTCAAATGTTTACGATCATTGGTTCGCGAGAAACACTCGGAAAGAAAGATAAAAAACGGAACGATCATGGCGTACATGGCGTACATGGCGTAATGCTTTTTACATGCTAGTGTACAAATAACAATTATAATCGATCGACAGAATCGAGCAGTTTTCATAGGAGCGATCAAACGCGATCTTTGACCGTTTTATGAACGCTGATCCTGCCTTTTCGAAAGAACGCAATGACGATTATACATTGAAAATCGTAACGTACACGTAGTAGTTCCGCGCGCGCTCGCGCGGACGTTAACCGGTTGCGTACGATACACGCAGCGCGCGCGCGCGCGCGCCCACGTATAGACGTATACGCGAACCGTAACGTAATCGTACAGTGTATTGCCTTTGTTAAATAGCATTCGGATAAAGCCATATTTTTCCATGCAATGCAATAATACAGCAGAATAAATTACCGTAAACGTGAAACAGCCTAAATAGAGAAGAGTGCCAGATACGAAAAAGAGAAGATGCGATCAGTGGAAAGAATAGAGAAACGAAAATAAGAAAGAAAGGAAAAAAGGAGAAGAAGGATTAGCGGAAGAGAAGATGAAAGGAGTAACGGACGTAATCGATATGAAACGTTGTACAGAAAATTTCCTATCATTCGGGACGTATCTGCCTTTTATTCTGGCCTCGTGATGATAAATCCTGACTTTATTTATACTTGACAATATATGGGATACCGTGTAAAAGAGCAACTAAAAATTAGGTTAGGAAACTTTGTGAACTTTTGGTTTCTCGCGGTACGCAGTCAATCTCGTAACTCGACCTCGTTCGCGCGCGCTTTCAACGGAAACAGGTAGAGACGATTAGTGCGATAATCTGTCATTATACGGTCAGAGCACGAATTATAATAGAAGGTGGTTCGCGTTAAGCGATTTCGCTTCTTTCGTATTTTTTCCTCCGATACTCCCAATCTTTTCCGCTCCCCGTTTCTCGCTCTCTTCCCTCCTCTCGTTCGTTAACTTTTTATTCTCCTTTTCGTCCATTTTCATGTCGCTTTCTCGCAATCGCCGCGTAACGCGCGCGTTCTTTTCCTTTTACGCCTACTTTCTTTCTTTCTTTTTTCTTTTTTTGCCTCTGTTTTCCCCTCGTCAACTTCCGCGTTCACCGCTCGGTTCGCGAAACCAGGTGGCGGGAAAATCGGGAAGAGCACAGAGAGGGAGAGAGAACGAAAGAGAAAAAAGAGAACAGAGTATAAAGAACAGGGTGTTCGGTTTTGGTAATTGGTCGAACCGGTGAAATAACGAGAACGAGAGAGAGAGAGTAATATCGCGGTTAAAAAAAGAGAAAAAGAAAGGAAGTTGGTATCGCGCGAATCATCGTTCAAAGAGTTCCAGTTGACAAAGGTTTTATACAGATCTATTAAAAAAAAACCAGTATTTCAAACCAATGAAGAATAATTAGTTTTCTAATAATAACGATACATTTTACGTGAATTTAGTACAGTGCTTAAGTCAGTAATGCTCAGCAGCGTATCTAACAAATATTTTTAGTGGAAATCCGTGTCATACTCACGTGTATTATAAACGCCCTTAAAGTATGTAACTAAACAACAATCAAAGAAGAGTGGACGGTATACTCGACGACTGTTATTTACTATAGCCGTTTTCTTAGAAATACGCGTAGATCGTAGCCACTTGGAGGCAGTTTACGTTATATTTAATTAGGTTATCGCTTTGGACTACACTCTCGTAGCGGTATTATTATTTGTAGATAACGTTTGCGATTATACTTATTACGATGATCAAAGCCGATCGCTATATTAAGGATTTCGTTTTACAGTTACCGAGATCAATATTCCCCCGCGTAGTAGCACGGGACGCGATCGGTCGGCCTCTCCGTTCTTCCGCGCGTAGCTTCTTCCGTAGGACCATCATCTCGCGAGGGGACAAAGCGTCGTTGCTTAAAAGAGGGTTCGGGGAACGAATAGGATGCGGGGCCGATCGCGATCGCTCCCTTGCTCTCGAATCAAGATCACGAAGTTCTCTCTAGATATTTTTCAATGAAAACACAAGCCTATGAAAAGTCCAATTTTCTAAGCGTAGGTTCCTTAAGAGACTAACAAATTTAGCGCGACCGTTAAGAAAGCGTAGCGCGTACGCGCGTAAACTTTGTAACGCGGCGTCGCGTCGAGCGAGCACGTCGTTCCTCGAGATATTCGCCCGAAAACGAATAAGACCGAAGCGCGTTGTTTCCGGTCGAAGGATCGACGATAGTTCGCTACGACTCGATGACGGGCCGACGCGCGCGTACGCGTTCCCGATAGTTAGTCGCGTAAACGTAGTAGGTACACGCGATGCGATCGCTTTGTCGCGAAAATTTACGCGTGTGTGGTGTGCGTGTGCGTGTGCGTGCGAGTGTGTATTTTGTGATCGATGAGACCAGCGGAAGAGGGAAAAGGAGTACAGGACGAAGGAGAGAAGCGAGAGAAGAAGAGGAAGAGGAAGAGGAAGAAAGTATCGAGTCGTATTTCTTTTTCTTTGTTTGTTGTAAACGCGTTCGTCGCGCGGCCCTGGATGGACACGAATGCACCGAGAGAGAGAGAGAGAGAGAGAGAGAGAGAGAGAGAGAGAGAGAGAGAGAGAGAGAGAGAGAGAGAGAGAGAGAGAGAGAGAGAGAGAGAGAGAGAGAGAGAGAGAGAGAGAGAGAGAGAGAGAGAGAGAGAGAGAGAGAGAGAGAGAGAGAGAGAGAGAGAGAGAGAGAGAGAGAGAGAGAGAGAGAGAGAGAGAGAGAGAGAGAGAGAGAGAGAGAGAGAGAGAGAGAGAGAGAGAGAGAGAGAGAGAGAGAGAGAGAGAGAGAGAGAGAGAGAGAGAGAGAGAGAGAGAGAGAGAGAGAGAGAGAGAGAGAGAGAGAGAGAAAGAGAGAGAGAGAGAGAGACGGTATGGAAGGGCGACGACGCGATTCGAGCATTTATCGATTTGATTTCGAGAGAGAGTTTGCGATCGAGCAGAACGATCCGATTGTTCAAAGTATCTATTATTCCGGAATCGGCGTTAGGCGAACGATGGTAACGAAAGCAAGTTTGTTCGAGTCGCAACGCGTACGCGCTTCTGTACAGAATTGTTCGTAGGTCGTTGCGAAGATTTCCAAGATTAAAGAAGAGATTCTGCACTTGTCGGCTTGGTGAAATTAAAGTATTGTTGTTTGATTTACGCATAAGCTGTACGTTAAGGGAAAAAATTGCTTATAATTTTAGGGTCGTGTAACGTGTGTTAGCGAAGCATGCTTCTAAGTAGAAAGATAGGACAATGCTATAACAATAATTATTATAATTAAAGCGAACTAAGGATATAAGGCATTTAATAAGTGCAAAGTATTTCTTAATAAAAAGTACTTCCAAAAAGAAAAACCACAACCAGGTTGCATTCGATTATTTACTTCGAACGGTTCCCCTCTCGAGAGGAGGAAGTATCGGCGGAGGCGCGCGAAGACGATCGCTCGCGACGAAAGAAAAGAGAGGCGCGGAGGTGGATCGTAAAAGGATGATGATCGCGGTTTAATTTCGGACGAACGTCGGAGAGGGATGGGTACGAAGTTTGAGGCGGGTAGACGCGGGGGGCATCGGGAAATTTCGGACAAAACGAGAGACGGTGACGAGCAGTCGACGAAGAGAATCGAGGCAAGACGCGAGCAAGCGCGCGCGCGAAAGACAGTTTCTTTGACTCGGCTCGAATCGAGTTCTTCGAAACGACAATTGCGCAGTTGTCGCGAGCGAGATTTGCTGCGCATACTCCCGCGCGTTCCCTTTGTGTTATTTTCGGGCGAAATCGCTGTTCGAAGCTTTAAATAGGACTGACTTTACGACAAAGAAGTCAGTTCGCAACATTGGTTCTACATGCTGGAGCATCGAAGATTGTTCGCTGTGAGTAAACAAGATGCAACCGCGTGCAAACGGACGGACGAGCTTGCGAGACGCGAAACGCTAAGAAATCGCGTCTCGAGCGCGTCGTCGAATCGAATCGAACTGGGATCGCGCGCGCTTCATCGTTTCGCTTCTGCTACTGCTTTCTTCTTCTTCTCCTCCTGCTCCTCCTCCTCCTCCTCCTCCTCCTCCTCCTTCTCTTCCTCCTCCTCGTGCTCTTCGTATTTTTGTTGGTCGAACGATCGTTTGTTTGGTTTCGTTTCGGCTACTCGCCACACGACTACTCGAACAGGGCTTCGATCGATGGATCGTCGATCGACTCCGCGATAGTCACGCTTTTGATATCACCGCCCGAATTACGTACGTTGCGACTTTGGCAGTGTCGCGACTTTGGCGACTCGGTGTGCTCGAAACGATATCTCCGATCTGTTCGGACTCGAGATCCGACCGTGTCTCGAGTTCCGATGGAAACCGAACGAACGATCGAACGGCTGGTATCGGGCAAAGGACGAAAGACGGAAGAGAAAAGGGGGGTCGAGAAAGCGGGGGAAGAAACGCCAAGTTAATTCGAACGATTGCAACGTTTAGATGCCTTCCGAATGCATCGCCAATCCATTGCAACGGGAGCTGGCCGATTCCATAATCCGTTTACAGCCGCTCGACGAGATTCGAATTTTGCTGGCGTGCGGAGCGAAGGCGAACGAGCCGGTGACGCAGGGTTTGAGGCCGCTGCATTACGCGGTGTGGCAGAGGTACACGGAGGCGGCTCAGCTGTTGCTGGTGCGCGGCGCGGACATTGACGCGACCGACGAGTGCGGATACTCGGCATTGCATCTCGCCGCCGAGCACGGTTACTTCGATTTGGTGAAACTGTTGCTCGAACACGGCGCCAAAGTCGATCACCGTAAAGACACCGGCGAACTTTTTCCAAGGTACGATCGTTTTTCTCTCTTCCCCCCTTCTTTTATTCTTCCCTTCTCGATCTACGTATCTCGATATCGTCGGGAACGCGCGCCAAGGATTTCCCGTCGTTATAAATTGCTGCGTCGAACGTAATTACCCGCGCACGTGCGCGCCCAGCGTTTTTTCTTTGCCGAGTGTATTTTTATCGGCGCGCCGCGCGAATACGAGAGATATAGGGATATAGATAGAGGGGTGGAAGGTCGAGGACAAAGACGGATCCAGCAACGAAAAGATAAGATCTGTGCAGGACGACGATTTGCGACGAACCGTTGCGGCTGGCTCTGAGGAATCGGCACGTCGAAGTGGCTCGAATCCTGCTGGAGGCTGGCGCCAATCCGAACAAGCGATATTTCTTTGGCTCGGAGATCAATCTGGTTTCCCCGTTGGATCTGCAATGCATGGAACTGTTGCTGGCGTTCGGAGCTCAACCGAACACGAGGGACCGCGCGGGGCTGACGCCGTTGATGAAAGCCGCTAGATTGCCGCAGGTACGAATTCAACGAATCGCGCGAACGAACGGCTGCGTTGATTACGATCGAACACTAACGGCGGAGGAACTTGCGTTAGGGTATCGCTTCGGTGCTGCTTTTGCTCAGCTACGGCGCGGACGTTAATTCGATGGCGGATTCGCGACACGACTATCGAACTGTGCTGCATTACGCTATCCTCGGCGGGGATCCGACGGTGATAGATCTGCTGCTGAAACAGGGCGCCCGGCTCGATCTGGGACCGGAGTATCAGAAACCGACGGCTCTCGATCTGGCGATTTTGAAGGGAGATCCCTCGATCGTGCAGATGCTATTGAATTCGGGTGAGTCCTCTTTAATCGTAACGGACCTAACTTGTTTCGGACGAGTCGATCGACGATAATAGAAAATCGATCATTCGATATTTAGGTGCCGACGTGAACGCTAGTTCGCCGATCATCGGTTCGCCGCTTCACGTCGCTTGCGCGGACAACATTCCGAACAGATTGGAGATACTGTCGATGTTGCTGGAACGAGGCGCGGACCCGAACTTGGTGATACGAAGCGACGAAGGGCCCGCGTTGCGGCCGGTCCTTGCCGAGTACATCGCATCGAACGAGAACCCGTCGGTCGAGGTGGTGGCCCTTTTGCTCAAGTACGGCGCGAGGGTGGTCATCAAGACGCAGTTTCGCGATCCTCACGGCATCCTGAACTCTCTGCAGAACACGGCCGATAAACCGCGACTATTGAAGGCGTTGCTGGAAGCGGCGGAGAGCTTCGACCCTTGCATGATACGAAGATCGAGCAGTTTGACGGACGCGCAGAAAGCGTTGATGATGGAAGCGGCGAGGACACCGCTACCGTTGACTCACCAAGCCAGGCTAACGATTCGTAGGATCTGCGGCAGCAAGTTGCCTAAACTCGTATCGAAGCTTCAGCTACCTCAGTCGCTGCATCGTTACCTGCTCTACGATTTTCATTGACCCGATCTTTTGTTCCGCGGGAGGACGCGTTTTTTCCTTCTCTTCCTTCTCTTCCTTCTCTTCCTTCTCTTCCTTCTCTTCCTTCTCTTCCTTCTCGTCCGCGTCCAGTCCGTTCGCGGCAACTACGTTACTTTTCCTACGGCCGATGTACGCGAAGGATGACCAATATATTCGATTCGTGTTCACGACGTTTTTGTACCTGTGTACTTACGCGCGCAATTTTCACTCCTTGTAAACATGTGTCGAATACATATGTACAAGTAAGAGCAAACAACAGATACACGGCATTGTACGTATCGTTGCATTCGTACGAATAGAAGCGCGAAACAAAATAAACGAAGGATTCCGAAACGATCTGAAGGGAGAATTTTATTCGCGCGACTCGTATCCCGACTCGTAATTCCCAGCTACGCGTTCGTTCCTTCGTTCTATCTTCGATCTATCTTCGATCTATCTGTCGAATTATACTTTCGAATTACATTTATTTGTTTCCGATGCGACACGCACTCGTAATAAGATACGTAAGATATACATATATACATATTTTAGATACTTGTCAGATTTCTTTGGGTATTTATTGTAAAAATTCATAAGGTACTTGCTGGTTCCTTTTGTAGTCTTCTATCTCTGTTTGCTCGTCCTGTTCCTACGTGTTGCGCGAATGAACGAGCGAATTTCGAGGAGGGAAAAAAGCGACACGTTCGATGCAAGAAGGAGAAGAAAGAGAAAAAGAAGGCGATGAACGAAGATGACGGTGACGCGGATTCGTTCTCGACAGTCTCGTTTCACCCTACCTCGTTCTATCCTCGAAATAGCAGCCTCGATACGGTGACCCGCGTCAAACCGCATTGGCAATCGTTACGCTAGTGTGGAAATTGCAGATACTTTGCGAGTATCTACGGGCGCAATTAGCCACTACGCTTATGCCAATTTCGGTGCTATTTTCTCGTTTTCGAGCGAACCAGCGTCGAATACTAGCTTCCTTTAACAACGGAATTTCTTTCCCTTTTCTTTTTTTCTCCGATAGTTCTCGATAATTCTCGTTTTTCGGATGAACGACAGCACAAAATCGGAAGCTATTCGAAACGCTTCGAAGGAGAATACTTTTCGTAGTATTTCGAAATTGATTTTATTTTAATATCGTTGACGCGCGGGACAGCTACGTACATGTATATCGCGTGGAAGATTCTTTTTTTTCTTCGGCCGAGCATAGACGCGAACAAAGCCGAAAGACGCGAAACGAATCGAGATATCGATTCGACTGGTCGACGACGACGTTTCGATTTTGAACGACCGGTGACGACGTGGATAGCGGTAAAAGCGATTTTTGGCAAGATCACTAGTAATAATGAGAGCTAATAATAATAAGATGGAAAGAAGGTACGAAGAAAGGAAGGAGAGAAGGGAGGAAGAAAGCGTGAAGCTGATAAAAGGGAGCAGCCGTTCGCGTAGGAGACGCAGCGCTGCGATCGCTGGGTACGGTGCGACACGACGCAGCGATGGCTGTCAGAATTTTTACACCTGCCGTTCGTTCGAGCCAAAGATTCGCTGGATTATGGAGCGAAAGAGGAATCGTCGCAGCCGGCAGAGCGGGAGCTTCGTTGAACGTTGAAAGGTGATATATCGAACGTACGGGTTTTGCGAGAGAGTCGTAATTCACGTAATCACGTAAGAGACGTAAATTGTTGGTTATGTAATCGTGTCCTAACCTGTAAGAGCGTTTCGTAGACGTTTTATAGAGCGTACTCTAACGTATTTAAGTAAGTAGTAAATAGATAGAAATGTGAGGAATATTGTAGCCAACGGCGACACGGACATCAATGGGCGCCGGACATCAATGTGCTCAAGCAGGAACACGATTACAAAGTGTATTACGGAATCGATCAAGCATGGAAACCGCCGTCGAAGGCGGAAGAGGTGTTGCAACAACCGGGAATAAAAAACGTCTCGTTCAATTTTGGTCCGCAACATCCGGCAGCTCACGGCGTGCTGCGATTGATCCTAGAGATGGACGGTGAAAAGGTGATACGCGCCGATCCTCATATAGGTCTGTTGCACCGAGGCACGGAGAAGCTGATCGAATACAAAACGTACATGCAAGCTTTGCCATACTTTGACCGTTTGGACTACGTATCGATGATGTGCAACGAGCAATGCTTCTCCCTGGCTATCGAAAAGTTGCTCAACATAGATGTACCGTTGAGAGCAAAGTACATAAGAAGTAAGCGATCTTATAATTAGTAATTTTTCGAATTTGCAATTTTCAAATTTTACCGGCGAGACGATTTATTAATCAGCGATGTTTGCCGAGTTGACGAGGATCTTGAATCACATTATGGGAGTCGGAACGCACGCGCTGGACATAGGCGCGATCACGCCGTTCTTCTGGCTGTTCGAGGAACGAGAAAAGTTGATGGAATTTTACGAGCGCGTGAGCGGTGCGCGGATGCACGCTGCCTACATACGGCCCGGCGGCGTCTCGTTGGATTTGCCGTTAGGGCTGATGGACGACATATACGATTGGTGTACCAAATACGGAGAACGATTGGACGAGGTGGAGGATTTATTGACGGGCAACAGGATCTGGGTAGGTCGGACGCAAAACATCGGCACGGTATCGGCGGAGGACGCGTTGAATTGGGGATGTAGCGGCGTGATGCTGCGAGGTTCCGGAATCAAATGGGATCTGAGGAAAGCGATGCCTTACGACGCGTACGATCTCGTCGAATTCGACGTACCGATCGGCGTCAACGGGGACTGTTACGACAGGCGAGTAAACTTCTCTACCTTTCCTTAGTTTTTTCCTTCTTTTAACGATCGTTTTAACCGATCCTCGATCGACTTTCAGGTATCTTTGCCGCGTCGAGGAGATGCGCCAGTCGTTGAGAATCATCTATCAGTGCCTGAACCAAATGCCGGCGGGCGAAGTGAGAATCGACGACGCGAAAATCGTGCCGCCGAGACGCGAAGAGATGAAGACCAGCATGGAGGCGTTGATTCATCATTTCAAGCTGTACACTCAAGGGTTCCAAGTGCCGCCTGGTTCCACTTACACGGCGATCGAGGCGCCCAAGGGTGAATTCGGAGTTTACCTCGTGAGCGACGGTACCAGCAAGCCATACAGATGCAAGATCAAAGCTCCGGGTTTCGCTCACTTGGCCGCGCTCCGTCACATGGGTCCTTCGTGCATGTTGGCCGACGTGGTGGCCATCATCGGCACTCTGGACGTAGTGTTCGGTGAAATCGACAGATAATTATTTCTCGTATATGTCGCGTATCCTTATCCACTGGTTTATCGATAGTATATCGTCCTGCGCGACGATTCGAGTTTGGCTAGTCTCGTTCGAGAAAACGAACAAATAAAGTGATTATTCTGTCTTTTCGAAACTATTCAACCATAGATACATTCAGTTATTGATTCAGTTGTCCCTCGATTCGAGAGCGGTCGCAGCGGTGAATTACGCAGCGATCGTTGGGCGACGGTATCGCGTAATCCGCGAGTCCGCGAGTCCCCAATTAATCCGACGCTACCTACCGTGATCGAGATTCGCGCTGTCCAAGAAACGTCTTTCCCCGACACGAAATTACAGGAATTAATTTCCGATCAACGGGTCAAGGTTCTCGTAATCCGTAATCTTCGCGTCGAGCCGCGCCGCGTGACGAGCAAGGGCAGCGCGATTCGTTATGTACGATTAATTGACGGCAATTACGTACTCGTTCGCGCCAACAAACGACTCCTCCTTTTTCCTTCTTCCCCTTGCCTCCCGACCACCGCCGCCACTCTGGCATCGAAATCGTTCGCAACAGCACGAACAGTGTCTTTTTCGCGCCTGTAATTCCGAACAAGCAGGTAATCGTTCGATAAACGAAACGATTTCTAAGCGCGAACGTTTTTCAACCGATCGTTCAGAGAGTAGAAAGACGGATAAAGCGTGCGTTCGAAAAGAGAAGAGCGGAAAGAAACGAGCGAGAAAAGTTGACAATTTAGTCGAGGTTGTCCGTAGCGATGGCAGGGAAGGTGGAGCGGGGATTCGATGGACTGGAACAGCAGCAGCAGGTGGAAGGAGGTACTGTTGGTTCGAGCGAGAAAGAAAAGTAAGATTTATCGAGTGGTGGGGTTAAGTAGAATTGATACCGTAAGGTAAAAAGGTAGTACTCGGGATGGAAAGGAATGGAAAGGAAAGGAAAGGAAAGGAAAAGAATGGAGAACGGTGGGGTAAGCGGAGCAGGCTGGAGTAAAGCGGAGCAGAGCCGGAGCAGAGCGGCGCGGTGCGGAGAGGAACGGAACGGAATGGAATTGGAAGGATGGATCGAAAGAACGAGGGGACGAGCGGAGGGAAGGTAGTCGAAGCGAGTAACGGAGGAACGAAGGAACGTAGGAGCGGAGAAGTGGAAAAGAACGAGTGGGGTAATAATAAATCGTTCACCTGAATCGCGCGCTCGCCCGTTCACGATGCAGTCGAACGGGAAGAGAGTCGCGTTCGTTCGGTCGTTGGCGCAGTGTTTCGCTTGATCTCGTAGCGATCGATTCGACTCGACTCGACCTGGAAGGTTCGCGTTCGGAACGTACGAAGGGTCCGAGGCGGCTCGATTCGAGCAACTCCGCGAGTTTCTCAGGATTTTCGCGTATCTCGCGGTCCAACGGTGTCGTTGATCGGGTGGGTGCGCGCACGCGCTCTCCACGGATCCGTCGAAAAGGTTCGAAGAGTTGCCGCGCAACTCGTTGCCTGCCGAGAGGCGAAACAAGGAGTGGTCGATC